CCCGAGGGTCCCTTTCCAGGGCATCTGGTGGACGTGAGCGGCACCGGGACCCTGTCCCAGAGCTACCAGTACGAGGTGTGTCTGTCGGGGGATTCCGGGACAAATGAGTTCAAGTTCCTGAAACCAATTATCCCCAACTTCCCCTCTTAGGGAACTGGGAACTAAATAGATTAAAATTCCACACTCCACATTAGCTTTCGATTTAATTATTTGTAGGAACCCATTCGTTGAAGAACTAAACTTTTTATTGTTGTCGTGTTGATTAAAATGTTCATGCTCACCACCACCCAGAAGGCGTTAGTTTTCTCTGATTGTTAGTTCTAATTATATTGTGAAGTTCAGTTTCCCTTTTCCTCGTATTTAACCCAAAGAGGTGTTTTCATATAATTCCAATTAACAAAATAGACTTCATCTTCAAAGTTGATATCATTTAAAATTTTTGTCTTTATATTTTATTCACTTTCTGTTCAGTTTTTGCTCCATTATTCATGTTAGTTTTCAGTTTCCTAGAACTTCAAACATTAAAATAGCTTGCTGCATGTATTAGGTTTCCTATGTTACAGTTCTGTTTTCTATTTTTCTTTCAAAATTGGTATTCCTTTTGGTTTTTGAATCTCAATTTTATAACATTTTCTTAAAGTTTCTTTCCTTTTTTTGCTTTTTAGACAGGGTCTTACTCTGTCACCCAGGCTGGAGTGCAGCAGCACAATCTTGGCTCACTGCTCCCTCTGCCTCCCAGGCTCCAGGGATCCTCCCACCTCAGCCCTTGAGTAGCTTGGACCGCCACACCTGGCTAATCTTTTGTAGAGATGGAAATTTTAAGTTGCCCAGGCTGGTCTTGAACTCCTGGGGTCAAGTCATCCTCCATCCTTGGCCTCCCAAAATTTTAGGATCACAGTCATAAGCCAATGTGCCCATTCAAAAGTAACATATTTTAAAAAGTTCTATTTTCCCAGTATTGATCTCTCCCTAAATAAAATATAATATTTCTGTTGTAAGTGATATGAGAAATCTTTAACCAGGCTTATCTAAAAATAAAGATAAGTTATTGTAAGACATTGAGTATGTGTAAATGTGTTTATGTTTGTAGCCAATGGCAAAGGTATTATGTAAAATATTTAATAATTTATTGTTTCTAATTCTGAATTTAAAAATCAGAGGTTTCTGTTATGTTTTTAATGGCCAACAACTCAGTCTCATTAAGTTGGAAAATATAGAACTCACCAAGGAGAGGTGTATATGGTTTGGCTTTTATAGACATCAGAGCATATGTTGGCGGTATCCAGCCCTTTCTCTGTAAAACATCCCTATGTTTAATCTGCATTTTCTTGCTTATTATGAGAAAAATTGAGCTTCTTTCTAGACATAAGTCCTTTGAATAAAATTCTATGTGAGTCAGGTTTTACAATTTGTTCTCACTTTAAATGTCAGGATAGGTGCTAGCTTGATCTGTTTTTTCCCTCCCCTTATTTGGTTCAGAGAAAGTAGGGCCTACTAGATTTCTATTAAAAGGGACCATCCTGGTTCCCCTTACAGCCAGCTCCCCCTCTGCTAGTCCCAGATCCTTTGCCAGACTGACCACAAAGGATCCTCTCTCAGTTTCCTCCATCACAGAAATTAAGGCCTACTAGATTTCCATTAAAAGGGACCTTAAAATAGAGATCACTCAGTCCCTTCTTTAACTCTGCAAGTTATTTTAAAACTAATAGAAAAAAGAAACAAATTGTAAAGTATGAGTAAATTAAAGAAAACAATTTTCAAGTAGCAGAGATTGAAAGGCACTGAATATAGTTTCATGTCCTACTCACTAGAGTTTATTTATGCATACCTTAATATGACAAGCATTTAATGAGTGGCTGATTTGCCAACCAAAAATGAGTAAGGCATAGTTGTTCTCAAGTAGTTCGCACATTGATGAAGGGACAAACTGACATGAAATGGGAAGCAATAATATTTATAGAGTAAACATAGTTGTATGCATAAGCTTTAGAGAAGCACAGTAGAGAGACAGCCTAAATGCTTGATTCTGGACTACAGAGCGGTGATTCTGGTTAGGCAATCTAATGAGATTTTGAAGAAGATTTTTGAAGAACATGTGAAATAAGTTTTTATGTTAATTTTTTGGTGTTCCTATGCCCAATGATTCTGAGAAAATAATATATATTATTTTGGTGGTTCCAGAAGGCACCCACAATTTTCCCTTTTTTTGCATAAGAGTTGTGTCAGAAGCGAAAGGCCTAGTACAGAGCCAAGTCTAACACAGAAATGAACTGGGTTATTGCTAGAAACATTTTTTCAACTGTTCAATTTTTACCTTTTTCATGAAGCAACGAATAATTTTTATGAATATAGACAAACACAAAAATTGGGCACAGCTATTTGAATGTGTTGGAAGCCACAAGGTGGCGCTGCAGGCTAAAGAGATGGAGGAACAAAATCGACCAGGATGTTACGGAAGTCATTGACAAAAAGGAAAGATCCAGACAGATGGGCTGAGAAGAAAGGCCGTAGCAGCCCCTGATTGGAAAAGAAAAACTTAAAAATCCTAGATCCCTGCTATACCTAAGTTTGGGTTTGTGATTGCTGTTTGTGCTGGGGCACTGGGATTGCAACTGACATTAAGGAAAGCAGCTGCTATGGAGGCCAGAGGGTTCAGCTTCCCAAGACAAAGGCAAGTTCTGTTTCTTTTTGTTTTTTGGGGAGTGTCTTTGGCAGGCTCTGGGTTTGGACGTTATTCGGTGATGGAGGAAGCAGAGAGAGGATCCTTTGTGGTCAATCTGGCAAAGGATCTGGGACTAGCAGAGGGGGAGCTGGCTGCAAGGGGAACCAGGGTGGTTTCC